ACGCTAGCTACTCTTTTCCGGTACGCCTAACTGCAGAACGACTCAAGCCGTTCCCGGAACCGGTCGGCTTCACCATTTTTAATATTTTCGTGGTTATGCTGACAATACAGGGCTTAGGTACCATACGTGTGAATAGTTTAACGCGATGCCAATACAATATTACTGAGACTTTGCTTTTCAAAGACATTGGCATAATTCGATGGGTAATTACGGACTTTAACGACGCTAATAATTTCGCGCTGTTAATCATTCGGCGACGTATCTGCGTTATATGTAGCGTGCTGTGGTGAGTGTTACGATTTAGAGCCTGTTTCGGGGGCCTTTGAGAACGAAGAACTGTAATTCTCTATTAACCGTTTTCCTTGTATTTTAAATATGCAAAAACATCATGTTAAAGCAATGGAAATCGTACTCTATATCGGATTTAACGTTTATTTTAATAAGAGTGGACGTCTAAAATATATTTTCACTCTTCCAACTGCAGTATATAGTCCACACGACATTTCCAAATTTGGCATATAGAAATCTGGAAGGAAGCACAGTCTGCGAATAGAGCATAACGGGACTAAACATGAAAGTGAAGCTAGGGAAGCCTGTTTCACTTAGTTCAAAACTGAAAATAATTGTGTTGAACCAGAAATCGAGACACAGATTACTGCCCTGGCTTCATTTTTCTCCCGGCTCTCTAGAAGAATATGCAGTCACTCCTTATAGAAGACTGAGGGAAATGATGCCTAGCCAATACTGGGAGGAGGGGCGAATCACGACTGTGTCTGTGATCGTGCCTCGATGTTTAGATCATCCACCAGAGAACACTGATTCTCGTTTTTGACGCTAACACGGATAGGCCACCACCCAAACACTACCACAAAACGTTTTGTTTGGCCCATTTATTTCATAACATAACAGTAATCTCTACTGATTTTGCTCTAACAGATGAAATTTATGGATTAGTGCGGATATACAACACTATAGTGACAAGAACACATCATAAGGGCACAAGCAATGCCTATCACGCGACTTGACTCCTGGCGTCTTGTGTCTGGGGATAGGATCAGCTACTCAAAACCAAACTATAGACTAAGTACATAAGCTAGCCCTGGCCGAGCATTATATCATCAAGGTCTTTTCCCTTTTCTTTGCATTTATTTAGTCACCCCCTTCGTTACTTTCAGATGACCTATTTTTCTTCACAGAACAAACGTCGCCTTCATTCTTCATCCCTCAGCGTTCTTCAATAATTTCTTGTGGTGCGCTAAGCGCCGTTTGTGAGGACAGACAGTTCTGGATTATCTGACTGACATCATCTGGTCTTGGCCGTATCACGGAGATGTGCACACGCACTTTTACTCTATTTGATCGCGCGTTGCATGTCCTATCCCAAAGTATGATTCCTTTCAATCTAAAATCTTCCAGGAATCCATCGTCTTTCATCAGTCAATACTGATTTACAGAGTCACTTTCTAAACCCAAGGATCCACAATCTGTTGCGGAAGCTAGTGTCACAATCTGAACTGACCTCGATTCATCGCCCGAAATTTCGCGCTGAAAAGAGCCACAATGTAAAGCTCCTTTCCGATTCAGAATTACAGGCGGTAAATTTGGTTTTCTTGTGTTCGAATTCCTGAAAGTAGATGAAAACATTCTCGAAAGCTCTCACGGCTCAGAAATTACAAATGCCCCCGGTAATGAATCCGCGGGTGGACACCTTAGAGGACAACATTATTGTGAGAGATCCCAATCTTTGTGGACTTCTTCCAGGCAACCAAAAACTTGTTTTTGTCGATATTGGTTTGGAATCCACGCGAAGGCAACGCCTTATGGTTATTCGTGAGGCTGACGGAACTCTTCGTCACGCGAACGCATCCGAGAGAGACCGTCTGAATCAAGTCTATTTCCCATTGCCGGGTAGGCGATTGCGTGTTCCATCCATGCTGCGGACCCCCAATTTCGAGGTACGCATATTTTTTTAAGTACGGAGTCTCTTTCTTTTTAAAAGCCCATGCTTATTGAAAGATCTCTCGATAACTTCATTGTTTGGATTACTGTGAGACAACGGGAAAATAGTTCTTGCAATAGAAGAGAACGTGTTTAGTGGATATTTTTTTGCAGGGTTTTGACATCGCAATTGGAAGCCAACCGACTTGTCCACAAGGTGCGTCCTATCTTTGGGTGTGGGACTTGTGATATGTTGTCCCATTGTCGTGCTAGCACAATTAAGATAATTAAAGTAATCAAGGTTTCCCGCGATCGTCTCTTTATCGCATATGACAGCTATGCCTCATATGTAGCTGTCTACATGGTAGACAGGGTATTGCGTACTTTCAAGGATTTATGAAAACGGTGGTGTTAATGGTTGGCCATCTTGCATTGTCGGGTGATGGCGTTGATTCGCCCTACTTAAATGCGGTTATCATTTAATGCCGGCCCTACATACATTAAGGCACTATAACATAATATCATAGAGGCCTGTTATAACATGGTTTACATAAAGTGACGTAGCTGACGGTAAGTATAGTAGCGTGTGTTATAGCACTCCCATATAAAATGATAATTTTTTGTAGCTGTTGTGGGATCACGGCGTCCTTCTTATCTGTGTTAGTACCATTCTGGTATTCTTTTGTTGCTCCAAAATTTGTATTTTCTATGATTTCCTTAATCTGGATCAATACCTCGAAACAGACAAGGGAAAGTATGCAATATACAAGCCTGGATTCGAAAGATTTAATTCAACTGCCAATCGAAACGCAATTATGAGAATCTGACACGAAACCGTTCGATAAACAAAAGTATGACAATTATATCCGAAGTAGTAGATTGATACCACAACACACTCGAGAGTCTACTTACCTTCAGTCCATCGTCGTTATTGTGATACAAGTAACGCAGAATATGATGGGAACGTACACCAGCACACAGTCTGTAGAGGTGGATTCGTGTATGACGCTGCCACCACTACCGACTGTACGTTGGCAACTTGTGAATATTACGCGGTTATCCCGCAGTGGCTGGTAGACTTCAGCCCAGCTATTAATATAGACTTTGGGTTTCCGCCTATAGGCCTTTACATGTACTGGTCTACTCAAAGTTATAGATTAATTTCTGAGGTAATTTATCAGCTACATTTTCAAAACTGGAACATCTAACAGAATGCTAGGGAACCTACTAATGGGCCAACCCCCTCGTAGCTGTCCCATTCAATGGTAGAATATCGACAAAAAATGTGTCTGAGCCTCTAGCTAGTACTCGTGTGGCAAATAATTATGTGGGTTATTTTTGCTGGCCTCTGAAAAATACCACTAGTTCAACAAACTTATTGTTTGGAATCTGACGCTTTTCAGTTATCCAGGCTCAATATGCCGAGTTCAGTTAACTGTCCGTTTTATTCGTAGTACAGCACTTTTCAGACCTATTGTAATTTTCTTATTTTCCTAAAATCCTTCAAAATTGTTTTACCTCTGAGATTGCATTTTTTATTCATCGGTCTTTGTTAGCTGTTTCCAACGTCTTTTTCAAAATTCACTTTTTGTCTTGTTGTCCAGTCCCAACAACCGACAGTTAACCTCATTTTCCTCCTTCTCATAAGGCTGCCCTTAGTTCCGGACGTCATGAGTACGTACTGGATCGCTTGCTTATCCAGTTCGAGCCCGACGACCCTGAGTACATTCGACTTTGCCATGCTGTTTATGATGACGCAGAGGCACGCATTTGGAGTTACTATAACACAGAAAGCACCGATTCGTCGCCCTCTATGCCTGATAACGAACCCGAACCTACGAAACACGTCGTAACGCGACTACGGTCTACTCGACACTACGGTCCCTTCGCTCTTTACGTTATCGCCGCACTAGGGCGGCCAGAAAGTCTGTTGCGAGAGACTCTTGCACACCAGGCTTTTGATACTGCAGAACACATCCTCCACCTAACTTGCTTACTACAACCTCAGTCGGTAGTTTCAAAGGCTCTGCATCAGAAACATAACTTTCCGTCGTGCTTGAGTCTTGAAGATAAAGACGGGTCGGAGCCTTTATCAAAGCATCATATTGATCGTACATTAGAACTAGTTCAGGTATGTGTTGCCGTCGTCTCCATTGATTTTTCGTACAGTTGACATTATTGTTAATATTCTGCCCCTGTCGGACTTTTTTGTTGATTTTTTTTGATGCAAAATGTAACCCTTTTGTCAATCACATTTTTTTCCAACTTCCACAAAAGTGAAGAACTAACCTGGTCAGTCAAAGTCCGTCGTTGCTCCTCTAGTATATTTTGAAATCTACCTGATTAAGAGAAGATAATTGAGCTTTTATTCCTAAAACATCTGTTCTGATAAAAAAACTGTCGCTAGCTGTAGGTCTGCTATGCTGGAGCAAATTTGTTAACGCTTATTCCGGATATTATATGCCTCGATTCTTTAAAGGAGTTAATCGTCGGTTGTTCAAGTAACACGCTTATGTTCTGCTAGGCTGTCTAAAGGTGATATGAGGTGACCTTTGAAACCAGTTAGTTTCTTTTGAACTGTTTCCGTAGGCCCCTTGTTCCCCGTCGCCGAGTTTTGTTGACAGAATCTTAAGTTTTTGATATGAGTAAGTGATAGCATTTTCCTAAAGTTTCCTGGACTATTTTTAAACCAAACATCATTCTCACAACCCAACAATTTATTTGGTTGAAAACGTTTACTTAAATCGACGGACGATGTTACCACTCTCAAATGAGTTTGATTTGAATTAACATACTTATCGCAGACTCATATTTCACTATCCCCTCCTAGCCAAGTATAGTCTGAACTTCTATGCATAGATCACTACAATCATGTGTAAATAATGTGTGTCAGTAACTTCAGTTGAGTGCTTGTGGCTCAGCTGAGAGCCACTAAAGATGACTACCTGCGTGAATGGTTGTTATCAAAAATAGAGAAGTAAATTCGACGATGAACTTTCCATTAAGCTATATCTCCACGCTCGGGTGCGAAGCTTTTACCCCTACACTTGGTCCCCTGTTGCTTGCCGTCTAAAAAGTGATTTAGGAAAATGATTAGATTCAATATTGCAGTAGTCGCCGGCTATTAAGTCTACCTCGGGCCCAGACCAAATTGGGCTTAATAAGCGGCGGGCTTATTAACCGTGGGCTTAATAGCCGGCGACTACCGTACCAAAATAAATTGATAGTAACACTCTTAAATGCTTCTGCCGCCACAAAGGCTATAATGTAACGAACGATGATGTCCACTGTGTGTTCTACGACAAGGTGCGCAGCATCTCCCGCGAACGCCTTCAAAACTATCTCATGCCCAATTTATCCATCCAATTATCTATTACGCCCCTTTTAGGTCGATATTTTGATCCAATGGCTCTAAATACAGCGCGGTCGTTGAAGTCTGGCGGCCGATTAGAGGATTATACGCTGCTCATACTGTAACTAGTGAATTACACAGGACCATGGCTAATGTAGAATTTTAGATTGGTGAACAAATGAATACGCCACACCTATTGGACACAGATAATCCTGAATGCAATATTTATTGCAGTAACGATATTCTTCAAACGTCTTTGCAGCATCTATACTTTAGCAGCCACCTTCTTTCCAGCCAATTTGTTTCCGACTCTTAAGTGTTCTTACGTTTTTCCTTTCAGACCTTTATTGAGAATTCAAATCTCCCGCCAGAAAAGAAAACACAACTCGAGTTGACCTTACTCCAGTGCCAACAATCTCCGCAGTCCGAACAGTCAAAAGAAGCTTCCGTTTTGTGATTTCACTGTCTGTTGCCCGTCACACGATCTGTATTAATAAATATGCTTTTTTAAGGGTCGTTGCACTTCTCTCTTGTTTATTGCCCTTGCACTTTCCTCTGTTTGATGGTTGGAAGTTGAATTCAATCGTAAACATTCGTGTCCTCATTTAGTTGCATTCCTCCATAGTTGGTAGCCTCCCGTGTAAGATCTACGCTTTCTTGGAAGACGTACCTCGAAGTCCTCTCCTTTGATTCTGCTTCCATTAGTTTGCTTTGTCTCAGGCAGGCCTCTATGTTGGCTTATTTATAAAGAAGTGGAACCTAGAACTGTCTAACTTTTATTGGCCAACTAACACCTAAAATAATCATATAACTTTTAGTCAAAAAGGGTTCGCGTTAGGCGTCCTGGACTTACTCTGACCTGTGCCGTACACGGTCGTCTTGACGATAAGTATTTGCACTGGACAGTGTTTTCACACCCGAAATCGACAGCTTCAACTCCCACTTGTTACTTAGTCGTTAGTTTAAGTTATACTAGTTTGCGGGTTCATTTCACCTCCCAGTCTACCTGCAGCTATTGTTTTATTCAGGTAGAAAATTGAGGTTCGCTTCGTTGTGTAGCAAAGCATCGGAGCCGTACATTCTCTTCTAGCCCCATAGTAGTAGGTCTGTTTATTCCACTTCTCCGTTTCTGTTCTTATTCAGAAACTCAAACACAGAGCCAGATGCCCTTACGAGAGGAGACACATATGAACAGTGCTCGATAGTCAATTGTGATTTCAGGTTGGGTTATGAACCTTCAGTGTTTCCTCCGTCTAGCATCCTCACCACATGGACGTAGTGACAAGCTGTCACATGTTCGTAACAATGTCAGAAGGGACTGATATGCTCCTTTGTAGCTTATTCGTGACTTAACTACCGTCGCTGGCTTATCATCTTGCAATCGTTGAAGACAAAATGAACAACACTTGCAGTTCCCGTCAAGTAATCAAGATTGATGATCGAGACTAACTATCAACAATCTCGACTGACAGGACTTGAGCCCTTGCATTTGATTGTGACGGCTGCGACCATGAGTGATCTAGTGCCAGGCTCTAGTGGTTCACCGTCCACTTGGACTTGAACTTAGTCTTCGGGTCAATTGGCCTATAATTGCGATACAGCGCATTGATGAGAACAAATAGGCCAAAAATGACCATTGCAGTTCCTGTTGTCTTTATGGACAATGTTTGTCAATAGTTAGAATTGCAGTAATTTAACGCTCTCTGTAAGCATATTACCTCTATGCCTACTGGGTCTTTTTGTATTTTCTCCCTTTCCCTTTTACCATAGTTTAATCAACTCCTGAAAGAGGCGAAATTCTACATTTCGCTGGCCTATGGCACTTCCGCCTATTTTATAGGTGCGCGGACGTGGTATGATCGGATTTCGGAATATCTTATCCTGGGTGGTCTGCCCGTGCTTTCTAAATGGGACGAGTTCCAAAAGAGGGAGTCGATCACGCACGTGGTCAGTATGCTCGAACCTTTCGAAGTAAAATCCTTTGTTCTCGGCTCCACAGAGGCTGCCTCCCGCGGCCTTGAGTATCTCTCCCTGCCCGTAGCTGATTTCTCAGGTGTTCCGACGACAAGTCAGGCAAGTTGTGTCCGGGGATCATACTCTTTAATCTTAATTGCAAATTAATCTGCCCATGATTTACTCTTACCCAGAAAAAATATCCAAAGCAGTTTTCTAACTAGAGCCTGTACAAGTTTCATGAATTTTTTGTCTACCGTTAATCGCTTGGGGATATTTGTGTATCGAGCCGATAGTTTTCCCATCGTGATCTGCAGTAGCTCAACTCATGATAGTGGTTGCTATATTAGTAAGTTAATGATTTATTGGTGGTTTTACTGTGTGTGCATATGACGTAGCAGATTACTGTAACTTCTAAAGGTATAGGACCAATTAGGGTAGGCTGGAGGTTTCATCACTCTTGAGGATAGTCACTCAGTGTTGTTACAGTGAGCTGGGTGAATCTAATGTGTCGGTGAGTACTGTGCTGGCACTGATAGAGCTTGTTCCCCCCGTCCTGACGGGATTTGTCTTGTAGGGAGTACGTGCACGCCCGGTAAAGGTGGATCACGATAGGAAGATACGGCCATAATGAGGTAGGGCTGGCAGTTTCGCCGGCGATGCTATTGTTCGGGGGACTGTTGGGTGGGTGATACCACTGATGTTGCGATGACTAATAAGGTGTCCAACGAGCCGGGTTCCAACTTTGCATTCACTGACAGATTAACTTATGCACAGTCATTTGAAGTCCACTTTTTTTCGAACCCACCACGCACCTTGGAGCTCACGATTTAACTGGTTTAAAAGGTTGCCGCTTTAGATTTAACAGCGGATCGTTACTCTGTTTCGTTATTGGTTTTAATACATTTTAGCAAGTCCTTCACGATACTATTATAGCGCTGTTTTGACCTGGATGACGCGCACCTAATGTTGCGCGCAGGGGGTGACCGTGTCATCGATTTTGAGTTGACTTCAGTTGTTCAGACATGCCGGGAATTCCCATGGATTCCAGAATTTGGGTGTCCTCAGTCTGTTCTTCTGACCTCTTCTTTAGCGTCCTTCAAAGAGAAGGGAGTTAATAAGAAGTTCTAAGAATCCACCCTTGCCCTGAAGACGGCAGCCGTGCACATCGTCACTTCCATATGAAGGGGATTGCCGTACGGCGTCTGTACGGGTGACTGAAGTCTACCGAAAACTTAACGGTTTTTTCAGCCCTTAGTCGTAATTTTTTTTACTGAGATTAATGCTTCTTGAAACGACGCTTTTCAGTTAATGTAATTTGTTCAATAACAATAAAACCATAAAACTAATTACTGCTGCCGCAAATTCTGCTTTTGACCCTGGTCTGTGTATGGTCGCCGTTTTTTCTGTTTATTTCTTAATCTTGATCCACCATGCACATGACAACATAATGGCTCAGCGACGGTGCTTTGCGTGTGAATTAATGTTAATTGCAATCAGACCTGTGTCGCATCTATCGCGCTCTTCCCTGATCTCCCTGTGCCCGGCGTCAACACACAATCAAGGAGGCGGAATCGGGCGCATGCGGGTGGTGTGGCGCAAGCCTGCCTTTGTTCGACATTTCAGGCCTTTCATAGGACCAGGAGTATTTTCGCAATTGCAGTAGATGTTTTGTCAAACGACTAAAACTGGAATTGTCATTTCTACTTGATTTTTTGTCGCCCACTATTCGTACCTCTACGGCAGAGCAGACATCACTAGATGAGTCGAAGCAGCGTCCAGGAAACTGCGGAGTCATGTTCTGTTGACTTCAATCAGGTGTACTCAAATAGCATGAGAATGGCTTGTGAAGTGAAGCCAAAACGCACTTAAACATTCACTTTCTATGTTTAGGTGGATGAGGGCGTCGAGTTTATTGATTCCTGTCGAAAGTCGGGGTCAAGTGTCTACGTCCACTGCAAGGCCGGCCGAACTCGATCAGCTTTCCTAGTTGCCTGTTATTTCATGTCCCGTGACGGTCTCTCGCCCACTGAGTCCACCGAGAGAATCCGGGCTAATCGCAAACACATCCTGTTACCTGATGTACATATGAAGGGTCTTCAGCGTTATCACCACATTCTACAGGAGCGCCAGGCTTCTAGAACAGGTATGTATCATGATTGACAGGTTTTAGCTACTGAATGCCATAGTTACTATTTCATGCAAGGGAACTAAACCAGTAAGATGCATTACTTAATCCTGAAAGTCATGGCGTTGATGTCAAATGAATCCTGCACGCCAACCTGCTAATATTTTTTATGCTTCGCGTGGTAGTTAGCTGAGTTGTTCTTTTCCATAAGCTCTGTTTCTAGGTCGAAACTCGTGATATAAAGCGATATTTGAGTTGTTGTCGCAGCCGGTCCATTTTACCGAAATCATGCCAATAACTAGTGCAGACAGCAGGATCAATAGGAGTCTTTAGAGCTAAAATTGACCTTTATTCTCTGTGGTGACGTTTATCGTCAAGGAATACTAGGAGACGGTTCTAAATTTATATTGCTACGCTGGCGAGTATTGCAAGTCAGATAAAGGTATTATTTACTGATATAGCCTTGTTATAGGACAGACTAATGGTGTTCGCTTTGCTTTACTCCGGAGCTCCACAGTGGAGCGTGCCAGTTGTTAATTCGGTAGTGACTATCGTGCCGACAGTCTCAGTAAAGTGCCTTCATAAGCCAGCTTTTATCCGGACTCCCTGTCCCCAGGGTTACAATTAGGTCCTTTTCTTTCCGGGCCCCGTTTTGACTCCGTATCCTCACATTGCTTCTTTCTTCAAAACAATTTTACTTCTCTGCAATAATATCTAAAATGCTCATTTTACGTTAATTTGTCATGTAGTTGTCCTTACCCTGTAGTCTTTTCACAACCCTGTTCTTTCCTGTTTTAGATTGAACTTCCGCAGCTCCCACGCCTGCACCGGTAACCTTTCTGAACGACAAACTGTTTCTTATATTTTCCTGTATCTGCTAGATATTATTTTTTGCCTCGGCACTCATATAAATACAGTCTTCCGTTCCTCATGACACCTGTCCTTTCTTCCATTTTATTGCAAAGCGGTTGCTGTGTGAACAAAATTGACTTTTGCCCTTTCGACTGCCTTCTCGGGACTCGTTTATTTGCTTGCCTCTTAACCCTTTTAACAAGTATCGCGGTCTCTTTTTTACTTTTGATATCTGCATAAATTAAAAAGGTTTTTGTTAAAATTTTGGCGGATCATAGCGACCTGCGAGAGACGAACTCTGAGGATGCATATTTATGTGTTCAATTTCGTTTCTAAGTAACCCATGTTGTTTTTTTCAGTAGACTTCCGCGCAAGTATAGCTTCTATGGCCGCCTAAACACGATAAGGGGACGGGAACGGTCACAATAAATGTGGCTTTGCGCTGAATTCCGAGGAAATTAGGTTTATGATTAAGATGGGGGTTGGGATTGTGTTTAAGTTTGGGGTTAAGGTCAGGATTAAGTTAAGGGTTAACGTTTTGCTTTGTGTTAACCCTATGGTTCAGACTTAAGGGAGGGCTAGGATTAAGATTGAGTTCATAATTTAATTTTATGTTAGGGTTAAGGCGCGGAAGTATTTACCCTTGCTGAAATATATCGCAAATCCGCCTAATCTACATGAACGGAGGGATCATACTCTCGCGTCCCATCTAACCGGCCATACAAGCCGTCCTTGCTGACTTCAGTTGTGGTCACATATTGCTGCTGTCGTGCGTGCCCTTCGTACCTCTGTTCCTAGGCAAACAACTTGATCCGGCTCCATCAACGTTTGCTAAGTTCTTCATCATTGCAATTTCAAGCTTTGGTTATGTATTAGCTCGCCTCTATCCTCAAAACAGTGAGCATTTCAATCTATTCGATCGCCCTCTAGCAATGGACGTATAGTGTTTGTCGTCAAAAAAAGTCATACCCATGTGCCGTGGATTACCGCGTTTTACCGAATTTATGACTTTG